CGACGAAGCCACCTAAGCCTAACCATTAGGGTTTACGGTGACTCGGGGTCGAGGAAGCCACCTAAGCCTAACCATTAGGGTTTATGATGACTCGGGGTCGACGAAGCCACCTAAGCCTAACCATTAGGGTTTATGGTGACTCGGGGTCGACGGAGCCACCTAAACCTAACCATTAGGGTTTACGGTGACTCGGGGTCGACAGAGCCACCTAAACATAGGCTTCCAATGCATGATATAACATAACCATCTAATAATCCAGTGCTAACATAACCATCAAATAGTCTTCCAATGCTAACATAATCATCAAAACCTAGTGCATGAGAAATCATAATCTGAAGTCTAGCAAACATAACACAGAATATCTGATCCAGCAAACATAACACACATAACACACAATACTTACTACAGTTCAACATATTATAAAGTACACAACCATTGTTCACAATACATAGTGGAGTTTTGATGCATAGTTCATCCTTTTCTCACAAAAGGATGAAAAGCATATCTACTACATACATACACAGCCATAGTTCATCTTAGAGAAGTTCACATTTAGTAGAGCCATACACTACACAACCATCATGCCCAAAAGGTCAGCATTGCCTACTACTCTCATATTCATTTTCTTCACTTCTCTAAGATGGCCTGGATCCCCTTGATCTTCTCCTTCAGCTTCTCCTCAGACTTTGTGAGCTCTGCATTCTTCAACTCCAAGTTCATCTTAGCTTCAGTAAGCAATTGCTTATCAGTAATATGCTTCAACTTCAGGTTCTGGATGACTGTAGCTTGAGCTCTTGTCAGGTTCAGTAGCACATCATAATTCTGCTTAAACTTCTCAAACTCTGCATCTTTCTTTGCCATCTGTGCATTCATATCAGCCACCAGCTCACTTCTGCATTCATGTTGATATGTAATGGCAGACTGCAGATGTCTGAAATCCACCACCCTATCCTCCTGGAAGCTCATAAGCTGATGCACATCTTGGACTAGCTTGTCATAGTTGGCCTCCAGGTTGTTCTTCTCTTCTGTCAGATGGTGGATAGTGAAAGAACTTTCAAGATTGTCATTCACCCTAGCACTTTTGGCATCTTCAACCATTGCCCATAGCTTCAACAATGCATTCTGCATTGTTGGGGGCCACTGGTGATCAACCCATTCATCAAAGCCACAATTGCTACCTTCCTGCAAAAACAACAACAACAACAACAACAAAACAGTTCATACATCAAGTAATTACACAAAATCACTGCAATTGCCAAAAAGAATGTCTAAATTTAGCATCAGACCACTACATTTAACAAGAGGAGCAGCCACTTGAGTAGCTGACTGACTAGTTTAGTTACTGTACTGTTCATATCAAGGAGTGTTCAAATATTTGTAAGCTACTCTACTACCACTATTAACATAAATTACTATGTTAGCACCAGACCACTACATTTAACAAGAGGAGAAGCCACTTGAGTAGCTGACTGACTAGTTTAGTTACTGTACTGTTCATATCAAGGAGTGTTCAAACATTTGTAAGCTACTCTACTACCACTATTAACATAAATTACTATGCCATTGTACTCCAGCAAAATATACTCATGCTTGACCTAAATAAGCTACTCTAACCACTATGAACCAAAATGTTGACAGCAAGCAAAGTACTCCAGCAAACAGAGTTCAATATGGCACTGACCAAGTAAGAAAAAAATCAGTATGCCTACAATCCTACAATCCATACCGGCTGTGCACATGCTAAAAACCTCCTGCCTGTGTCTGTTCCTTCAAAGGCAACAAGCCTCTCAGATGCCATGCCGTGCTTCTCACATGGAGACATCACATCCAGCTCAAGCCCCTTGTAATCTGGATCTTCAATGCTGAAAGGGACCTGCAGAAGCTCGCACAAAGACAATGGCCAAATCAAAACCTAGCGATATTAACCAAATCAAGAAATCCCAAATCTGAAACCCTAACCCTAACCCTGTACTGACCTCGTTGAGACAGTCTGTGGAGGAAGACTGCATGTACGGGAGGCTAGAATGGTCGTCGCTGCTTTCGTCCTCCAAAACCATGGCGTCGGCGGGGCGGTGCGGCGGCCGGCAGTCGGGACGCAGGCGGCGGCGACGGAGGAAACGAGCGAGGAGGAGGAGGGGAGGGGAATGGTGCGGCCGGGCTGGAGCTGGTGCGATCGGACCAGGTTGGAGAGCAGCAGCGCACCGGCTCGTCCTAGTCAGCACACGCGCACGCGCGGGCACGCGCCGATTGGCCAGCGTGGCACCTGACGGGTGGGCCCGAGCTGTCGGATCGGGCGTCAATACGTATAAATACGCGTTTTAGCCTAATTTGCAAAAACTTACACCAATGTTGGTACTGACACGCAAAAATTAACAATCATGATACCAATCTGCATGTGATGCCCGAATTGTGATACTTCTGTGCAATTAACTCCACTAAGCACATCAGCACCATTTGACATGATCCTCTCCAGCGCGTCCAACACAAATCAACGAAAAACACAAAATATAATGCCAAACAATTTCACCACAGTTTTTTTAAGGGAAATATAATAATTTCAGAGGACTTTCTCATCCTGGTGTAACGCACACCAATCGTCTTCCATCTGCCGGCCGTGCTATCCAGTCCCATGGCGCAAATGGCGGGCACCTACCTCTCAAGCTTCCATGCCACTGCCGCCGCAACTAGCGGCGGCGCGTCACCAAGGCCGAGGCCAAGAGTGGTGACATGCCACGCCTCCGAGCCGTCGGGCCGGCGATCAGCCTGCCTCAGTCTAGGCCTCGGCCTTGCCACCGCCGCTGTGCTCCACACAGCGCCCGCCCGCGCCACCGCTGCTGACGCCGACGAGGAGCCGGAGCCGGCCAACAACGGCTGGTGGCTCACCGAGTTCCCTCTGCCGGTGCCCAAGATCCGCAACAGTACTACCGCTACACTTCCCATACATACTATATCACCTCATCCTCATGATGCATTTCATTCCTAGAGAGAGAGAGGCCTCAACTGCTGAACTGAAACCAGCGCGGATGAATGTGGTGCAGAGGAGATCAACAATGGCGAGACAGGGACGCGATCCTTTGTGAAGAACGGCATCTACATGGCAGACATCGGGCCAAGCTTCGCGGCGCACGCCTACCGGGTGCGCAGCTCCGCATTTGACCTGCTGGCGCTGGAGGACCTGCTCGGCAAGGAGGCCTCCAACTATGTCAACAAGTACCTCCGCCTCAAGGCCACCTTCATATACTACGACTTCGACAAGCTCATCACCGCCGCCGACCTCGACGCCAAGCCGCCGCTTCTCGGCCTAGCCAACCGCCTCTTCGACAGCTTCGAGAAGTTGCAGGCGGCTGTCACCACCAAGGATGACGCTGACATAGGATCCTGTTATGCTGACACAAAGCTCATACTGCAGGAAGTCATGACAAGAATGGCCTAACCAGTATCCAGGACAAACAGTTCTGTCATGAACTGTAAATTCTGCCTCAGACTCTATCCAGGATAGCCTCAGTGCGTTATGTAATGTGCATTTGGTGATACTGAGAAATGACACGATTCTAGTCGTGAATGAAGAATTGGTGGAGATAGCACACAAGCAGGTCAATGGAATGCATCTTCCCAGCAATTAGTTATTAATACAAGCCAAGCGATAAAAGGCTGAATGCCAATACACCTACAGAGCTCAACTACTAGTAGTACCATCAGTCTACGCTAGAGTAGAGTATCAAAGCCGATACAGATTAGATAACTGAAATGGATAGGTCAGCACGCCACACCTGACTGTTAATATAATCATCAAGAACAAACAACAAAGCAAATGAGAATATACAACCTCTAAATGCGGTGCAAATGATGGATTGCATCCCTCAATTATCAACAAACAAACAACACACCTACATTACTGATGGCCCATGGATGGGATGGGACTTGCCAGTGAATTGACTGCATAGACTCATCCTTGTGACAAGCTGCGCATTTGAGTCTGACGACGAGGGACGCCGATCTCACAAGAGTTCACCCGAGCAGCAAAACGAAGAGAGCAAATAGACTCGCTTGTAGAAGACACTTCCGGGGACAAGTTCACAAACATTAGCGTTTTAGAGTCTCCACCCAAGCATGGCTGTGTACAAGGAAAACAGTTGTAGGTTGTAAAATGGCACTGAATTATAGTGAGACTGTACACCCTAGTTTTGGTACTGTGAAGTTACCTGGAGTAGATACGTCAGTTTGGAGTTCCTGAATGGAATGTGTTCCTCTTTCTTAGCAATGGAGAAGATAACATCACTCAAGCACGACAAGCTCTTGTTAATAGCCTAAAGAGTTAAAGTTAATACCATACAAGTGCTATGGATGTTACAAATGTACACTTCACAAAACAAAGGGATAGCAAACTACCTGGGTTTCCTTGAGTCTATCCCCAGTGGCACCACTTTTGTTAAGCCGTTCACTGCCTGCAAGATCAATTAAATTGAGAACACCTTGCACTTGTTGATCTGTTCCCTGCACAGAATATAATAACGCAAACATTGAGAAAAGGTTATGCATGAATTGAACTTATCAGTAAAAGATTGCATACCTCATTTACACCAAAAATCCGTAGTGTGAAAACACAGTGACTTCTAGATGATTCTTCATTCATTTGTGTTTTTCCTACTGATCTGCAAACAAGAACGAAAAAACAAATACTAGTTGATTCAGCACATATACATGCAAGTACCAAAAATATTGAGACATTGCAACCAAATTGAACACTCTTTTGGAGAGTTAGTCTGAGTAGCATGACAAAAAACATGGTACTAAGCATTGATTACAAGAGTACAAAATGTATGTTCGGAAAAGTTTTAGTTCAAATCAAGGAAATACTGTTTTTAACTTACTTAGAACTTGCATCCACAATACAAATTTGCTTGTGCTATCGTAACTTATCATTGTTAAACAAAAAATAAGGATTAATGGTAGTTTCACTGAATCTCAAAAGAACTTCGAGTCAACCTGCTTTGTGCAGCTCGTTTGAGCAGAGAAGAAACTTCGTTGATACTCCGTACATCAACGATTGTGAGGTCAGACACCTGGGTATTACCATTCACATCATGTTTGATATTATATTTTGAAGCGGCACCATCTTGGATAGATGTGCGACTTGTCGCTAACAAGTCACGTATGGTCTCATTGTATATTTCTAGCATTGAAGCCTACAAAAATAAGCTAAATTAGGATTATAGATAGAGAATACATGATAAGTCTTTAGTTCAAGTAAGTAAACAAATCAATTGTAACACACCTGCATCTTATATTTCCAACCTTGTGACATAAGGCATTGACTAGTTTGAAAAATTTGTTCAAGCGATCTAGGTATTAACCCTTTTTGATCATTGAACTCAGGATTTCCCATCATAGTGTGTGTCTTGCCGGAACCAGTTTGCCCATAAGCAAATATGCATACCTACATGATTTGAGATCAGTAAGTTCCATAATAAGTTCCTAATTTGAAAACAAAAACTATTTTTTCCATTATTCAATACAAGAAATAAAAACAGACAAGTACTTGGCTAAAACAATTAGATGAAGTGCACAGTGATTAACAGTGTACTTTTGGAACAGTTAATTTTTCTTAATTTTCTGCCTAATTGAATTTATTATTATTCAGTTCTGAAAATACAATATTAGTTATACCACCACTAAAAGTACCTTATAACCATCAAGTGCACTTTGAACCAACTGAGAAATTTCAGTAAACACATCTTCCTGGGATGCCGAGTGATCAAACACTTTGTCAAACGCAAATGAATACGATTGTGCTGAACAAAAAATGAAAAAAGTTAGTTTACAGAAGTTAGCAAGTATCATACACAAACATATACTAAGCAGTAAAAGTAAATGTAACATACTGTTATGTATCAACTCGACACCACGACCTATATTTTCTCCATTATTTGGATAAGAAACAGCTCCAGATTCATTTGACAATAAAGGTCGGACTCGGCAGAAAACACGAATATTTCCTTTAAGCTCCTGCAACACATTGATCTTATAAACAAACATATTGTATGGGATTAGTACGAGTCTTTAGGAGAATAAATCATTACGAGTATGGTGTTATGTAGTTTTTTCCGCAACTTCTCCCCATCCACAATTTTTTGCTCAGCTTCTGTAAGACGTAATTGTAGGTCCTCCAGCATTCTCTTTTGGCTTTCATACTCACTCATTGTCTCCATAGTTGTCAAATTAGATCTCTGGATAGTAAACAATTACAACCATTACACAGACGTGCATTTCATATATTGAAAGTATGGTAATTCAATCTAAATGATAACAGGCATGCAAAACTGTTACAAATATTATAATGGACATAATAGTGATACAAATGAACCACAGCTTGCAGCTTGTAGCTATAAATGCTTATTTTGAGGCTAATCATAAATGGCAAGTCAGAAACTATAGATTCTACAAGCTGAAACAAACATCTTCTATAAAAATACACACCTTCAACTTTTCATTAGCCGATGCAAGTTGAATTTGCAGTGTTTTAATCTTCTCAGTTTGGTTTGAACAAGTTTCCTGCATGATTGAAAAAAAATAAGCCAACCTAATTGAAATGGTTAGCATTATAATTGAGTGTGTATAATCATACCTCAAGTGCATCACATCGTATCATGACATTCTCTAATTCTGACGAAGACTTTCCTGTCAGTTCCTTGTACACACCCAAGTCACTCAACAACGAATTTATTTCAGATGATTTATGATCACGGTCATCCCTTACTTGGTGTAATTCAGCTCTGAGAGCTTCAACCTCATTCAATAAGTTATTTTTTTGTTTCAAAGCTTCACTCTGTGAAGACTGCAGAGTAAAAGGCTTAGCTATGAGTATGTAACTTATAAATGTAATAAGAAAGTTGAAGGCATAAAGAATGCAATTAAAAGATGAAAACTAAAATATTACCTTTGCCATATCAAGCTGCAACTTTACTGAGTTAGAATGATCTTTCAAACCATTCATTGTTTCAACCATAGTATTCTTCTCTTTTTGCAGCTTGTCTATTGTTTCAGCATTCTTTGTTGCATCAGCTTGGAGGTTGCAATTATATTGCTGCAAGCTAGTGTTGTATTCCTGAAGCCTCTTATTTGTATCTTGAAGCATCTTGATCTAAATGTAATAGAAATATTGTTAAAACATGAACAATGGTAAATAAACAATTTATTAGAGAAAATATTGAACAACAATAATACCTGATCATTAAGACGCTTCTGGTCCAACTTAACTCTGTTGAGTTCTTCTGAAAGCTCGTTCCTTGAAGATTCTGCAGCAATCCTAGCCTCCTTTTCATCTCCATAAGATCGAAGGCACTCCTGCACTTTACAAATTTGTGATTACAGATTGCTCCTTGGTCCATAAAAGATAAATTAGCGAAATGCACAAGGTACAACACCATTTGTTCAGCTTCCACTTTCTTTAGGCTCTCTCCTAAAGAGGCATATTGTTTCTGAAGCTCCTCTTTCATTGCCACGGATTCTTGGATTTTGCACTCCAACTGAGACACTGGATGGCAACACACCAATTCAGTCAGTACGGTCAACAATTGCAAAAGTTTTCACACTGTCAGATGAAGAAGTGTTACCAATTTCAGCATGATGTTTGTCTGCAGCATCGATTAGGCCATTGAGTTTTCCGATTTCAGCGAGGTTTGCGTCCTCCCTCTCGAGCAACCATTTGATACAAGCACGCAGCTTCTTGATGTACTCAATCATCTGCTCACTCTTTCCCTGGGGAAGCAATCAAACAATTGATGCTGTTTAGAACACTGCCAAGGACCATAATCATCAGTTCAGAATAGCAGGAAATAGTGACTCATCAGAAAGACATGTTAGAGGCAGGACCAGAACATATAGTTTACCAAAATCTTGGAATTTCACTTATGTATTCATCACACAGCAGAGGCGTGACATGTTAGGGGCGGGACAAACTACAACCTGAGCGCAGATTAGAGAGCCCGGAACTGTTCTAAATTGTTCTTGCAAGCTAAAATCCAGAATTTTTTTGTCTCGGCCTACCCACCAAAAAGGGTCAGACCGAGAGGAGATTTTTCTTTTTTTTTCTTTTGAGATTTAGACCGAGAGGAGATGGCTACATGAAAACAGTAAACAGGAGGCAAGGTCATTCCACCAAAGCGGGAGAATCCACTAGTAGTATTTCTGTTGTCTGTTGCGAAAAAATCCATACCTTGTAATCCATCTTGTTCTTGCCCTTAATCTTCTCGTTGAGGAGGGCGTCGACGTCCTCCCTCCCGGCGAACTCGATGGGGGCCTCCGCGGGGGGAGGCGCGGCGGCGTTCTGGGCGGCCGTGGAGAGCGGCGGGCGCGGCGCCGGGCCCGCGGCCGTGCGCTGGCGCTTGCCATACTGCGACTGGGACTGGGTGTCGTTCTCCTTGAGGCGGGCCG